ATCCACAAAATAAATTATCTGGTAGACCTTCCTCAAATGTGTGGATTCATTTTACTAAAAAACAAGAAGAAAAATCTAAAGGACATTACTCTGCACAATGCAAGTATTGCACAAAAAAAATTTAGTCATGGATAACCACAAAATCTTTTAACTCCATAGATAGAAAATGGTTTTAGCATACGAACCAATAAAATCAACCTCTTGACGATTTAACTCGAACATATGACGATATTCTATTCTACTGTTCTTTTTTTCTCAATCATTATCATTTGAAAAATTAATTACGTTCTTGCATGCTGTTCATGTCCCGTGGTTTTTTTTCCCTGAACTATGCGCAGAAATATATTTTTAAGAAGAACAAACACTTCTAAAGAAAAAAATGTGGCCATCGTCTATATAGAACTATTGCCGTATTGATTTTTTTATGATATAATCAACAGGTTACACGATTAATTTGATTGGACAATTAGAATTAAAAAAAAATTTTTTCAATTAGGAATCTTAAAAAAAACCAGCAATAAACACTTTTTTTCTCTAAACTAAATTCGACCAGAATTACAATTTTAAATTAAAATGAACAAACTTTTTTTACTACGCACGACAAATTTATTGCTAAACATTCCTCGTGGTAGTCCAAGATTTAAAATAAAATATACATATCTCATTCACAATCGATTTAAAAAATATTCTGAAAACTTTTTTAATTCGATTTCTACCATAAAAAGCAAATGATTATTCACATTATAATATATACATATGGAATCAATTCAAAATTCATAATGTAATTCATAATTTATAAGTAATTTCTTAATTCATAGGATTTTTTTTTTAAAATTTTATAAAGTCTTAATTTCCTCAATTCATGAAATTGTTTTTTAAAAATAGTTTCTTCCATAAATAATAAACTTTATTATTATTATTATTATTATTATTATACATACATACGATATTTCGAATAAGATTTCTTTCAAATCTGGTCTAATATGATCCTTATTTCTGCATGTAAAACGAATAACTCAAATCCCATATCATTGGTATTATAAGTATCATCCACTACACGCTCATTGAGATTGATTCCTAGTTTGTTTATTTGTTCGAGAATTCCAGTTTCAAATGCCAGTGCACGAACAGGTTCCATTTCCTGTGGCATTTATTCTCCAATAGCCAAATACGTGCAGAATAAAATGCATATTCACAATGTTTATATCGATCTTGCCCTAACTCTGACCACCAAAAGTGGATTTGTTTTTATCCAATTGATATATCAATAGACTCATTGACAAAACATTCATATATCTCTCTTGGGAGAAGATCTATAGAACCCTTCACGCTTTATGGTACGGATTTATCAATTGGTCTTATATGCAAATTCTTGTGGTGAAGTTTTACTTTGGATATCCATAAAGTCTCATCGCGGTTTGGCTGCTAAGATGTCTTTTTGGGAACAGAAAAACCAACATTTGGTTGTGGTGGTGGTTGTATCCTTGCATATGTATAGGTTATAATTCCAGTTGTATTCGATTGATTCAACGATTTTCTTTGCGAATTCTGTGGCTGATAGTTTTTGCGACTAATATGCTTACTCGGCAATGTAAACGTAATTCGATGGTATATATTCACTCAAAAAATCAACATCAACAATTTCCCAGTCACTAGGTTGATTATCATGTATTTTCAGAGAACCTTTTCGTTTTTGGCAAATCCTTGACGACAGTTTTACAGGTGCAGTAATAAATATCCATCAAATGGGATTCCATTTT